AACACCTAGGCGTTCGAGGCTAAAACACTCCAGGAGTTTCTGTGGTGTCCGTTCACAATTATTAGGAAATGTATTACATCTCTGTTTCTGGATTCAGAAAAATTTGCTCCTTCTTAGCTTCAGTGTTTTAAAAAAAAATTCTCCTTTTACTCATGAGTCTATACTTTTTGTATGGAAGTGGGAATGATTCTTTCCTCTTAATGAGAAGGGAGGAAGTTGGAAATTAGTAAGCAGTGTTGAAATGAATGTTTACAGAAAAAGGCCTAGGACACCATCTCTCTTCAATCCACTGGTATTGAAGCCCTGCCCTCCCCCAGGCAGCTCCCATGTTCCACTCTTCCTCCCGACTTCCCTCCAGTCCAGCCCTTTGCTGTAGGCTGAGTGTGGACTCTCACAACTTCTCCTCCAACCACAGATTACTCCCGTGGCTTCGGTGGCCGTTATGGGGTGGAGAGTGATAAAAAAGACAAGGCAGCCTTGGGGTATGACTACAAGGGAGAAACGGAGAAACATGAGTCCCAGACAGGTGAGTGGGAATTGAAAAAGGATGTCATAGAGTCATGTCGGGGGGTGGGGAGGTGGGGGCTAGAAAACAGAGGGTTGGATGAGCAGTAGAGGAGGTGAGAGGGGGAAAGTGTGTGTGAGGGGGCAGGACACCAGAGGTTCGCAGGAGTAAAGGGCAAGATTAGAACCAAGACAGAGGAAGGAGACTCAAGATGAGGGTGACAGAGAAACAGCCTGGGTGGAGGCAGCAGGGGCTTAGGGGGTTAAGCCATGAGTCTTTGGGCCCCTTTTTTCTCACAGCTGGTAGAGGTCCCCTTTTTCTTTGTCATGGCTGGGGCAAGGAGGGCTCTTCTTATAATCTTTCTTTTTTTCCTTTTTCTCTCATCACATTCTCTCCTTTCCTACCACTTCCCTCTTCTGTTACTCTTTTTCCATCTCTTTCTGGCCGTCTTTCTTCCAAGTGTTTTGGTGCTATTTTTGGCATCTACACCCACCCCCAATCCTTTCCTTTCCTTTCCACTTCTTCATTCCATGTCTTATATTTTCTAATGTGTCTCTGCATTTCCCCCATTCCCATCTTCTGGTTCTTCCTTCTGCAGTGGCCTCTCTCCACTCATCCCCGCATTTTAATCTCCCATGTGACTCTTAAACCTTTCCATTCTGCAGACTATGCCAAGGGCTTTGGTGGCCAGTATGGGATCCAGAAGGACCGAGTTGATAAGGTAAAAGCACCAGAACCCCAAAGGTCCAGTGGGGACCTGAAAAGACAGGGCAATAGTGGGTGTAGCTCGACAGTGATTCATTTTATAAAACATAGTGTATGGGGAGAATTATATGAAGCACAATGTGACTGAAGGAATGTGTGAAATACAGTGCACATAAATGAAGCACATTATATACAAATTTTGTATGCAAACCAATATAAAAATAGGTTAAAAAAGAATTATCTCAATTATACCAGGTGTAGGCAGAGAAGACTGAGGAGCATTGCTAGGGAAAGACAGAAGAAGTGATGCTGGGTCCCTGAGGCCGGTCCTTCTTGTGCCTCCCTCGCCCTCTGCATTGAATGAGCATATCTTCAGGGACCTGGTCTCTAACTAAAGAGATAATGGAGACAGACAATGTAGACACTCAGAGAGACAAATGCCAGGGGCAATGGGCTGCTCTATTTGAACATTCATGGCTGCCTGGTACCCTTTCACCCAGGCTGTAGTCTCTTCCCACTCAAGTCACTGTCCAACCTACATAGGTCTTCCTCTTGTGCTGGCTGGGGGCCCTGCTGTGTTCTAGGCAACTGAGTTTGAAGATGTGAGATTTTAGGAACACTGTGTTTGCAAAAGGGAAGCAGAGCTGACCACTTTAGACCATTGTCATTCCCCCCTCTCTGCTACAAAGGAGCTCTGCTGGTATAATGCATAGTGTCTCTGGTCACCAGCTGAGAGGTTAGCAGTTTGAACCCACCAGCAATGCCAAGTGAGAAAGATGAGCAGTTTCCTCACATAAAGATTTGACAGCGGAGGAAACCCAAGAGAAGGTTGCTATGTGTTGGCCTCAACTCCACAATAGTTATTTTCTCTGCTACTAAACAGCAATATTGGAATACCCTTTTCAACTATTGAGAATCTGATGGTTAAAGACCACCCCCACCCCTTGCAGTGGTCCCAGCCCCAGTACTGCTGCTTGACACCTTCCTCTCCCACTCAACCTCCACTCCCACTGTTCCCCGTCTGCAGAGCGCCATGGGCTTCAATGAAATGGAGGCTCCAACCACAGCTTATAAGAAGACAACACCCACAGAGGCTGGTGAGTCTTAGTTGTCTCTTCTTTCTGTGTTATTCAGCTTCCTTTGCTCTGACATTCTTTTTCTTGCCCAAACTCTGAACTCTTCCGTGCCTTTTAGTACATAGATTAATTTAGGTAGAAAAGACACCTACCCTCATATGCTAGACTCTTAGCAGTACAAGATCAAGTTAAGGAGGCAGAGAGAGTGTATGCCAGGGAGAAAACGGGGGGCTCAGAACAGAGTTATTGTTTTTATATTCCTTTAGGTCAGTCTCTGACTCGTCATAATTCCATGTTTACAGAATAGAACTGCTCTGTAGGACTTTCTTGTCCTCTTATGGAAGCAGATTGTAGGGTCTTTCCTCTACAGAGCTGGGAGGGCAGTGTGGCTCAAACCACCAACCTTGAGATTAGTAGCCACTTGCCAACCACTTGTACCATCCAGGCTCCTCAAGAGCAAAGAACTATTGAGTGCTGTCGAATCAGACCAACTCATAGCTGACTTTCCCGGGGGTTTTCACAGGCAATTTAATCTCAAGGGAAGAGATTGCCCATCCTTCTCCCCTGAGCAGCTGGAGATTTGAACTGAACGAAGAGAGGGAGTGAAATTACGTGGGGAGGAGAGATAGGGAAGGTAATTTGGTATTGGGAGTAGAGGGTGAATGTTGGCCAGAGGGAATATTTCTCTAAGGAAGATGGACAGGAAAGAGTTCTGGTTGAGAGAACAGGATTTACAATTGAGAAAGAATGAGGGAACTCTGGTGGCCTAGTGGGTGAAGAGTTGTGTTACCAACCCAAAGGCAGGTGGTTCAAATCTACCAGTTGCCCCACGGGAGAAAGAGGGAAAATTTCCTCCCGTTCAATTTACAACTCCTAAAAACCCACGGGAGGGTCAGCTAGGAGTCTATTCCTGCTCAAAAGCGATGAGTTTTACTTTTTTGAAGGGTCTGAGGTAGCATACCTTGACTAAATAGGAATCTAGGCTTCAGGCCTTTCGCATTCTCCTACAAGCTCTTGATTCCTCCATAGTTCGTCCTTTCTCAATTGTGAGTTAGCTCATTGATTCCTAGTGCTCCTTTGTCTTTCTTGTCTGCCCACCTTCACTCCAAAACAATGCAGATTGTTCTTGTTTGTATCTGCAGTGTCTAGTGGCGCTCGTGGCCTGAAGGCAAAATTTGAATCCATGGCTGAGGAGAAAAAGAAGCAGGAGGAAGAGGAGAAGGCAAAGCAGATGGCCAGGAAGCAACAAGAGCGGAAAGCTGTGGTGAAGATGAACCGTGAGGCCCCAAAGCCAGAGGTGCCTGGGGACGAGCCGGTGGTGCCAGACCCACTGCCCAAGAAAATCTCCTCAGAGGTGAGGGTCTGGACCCAGACTCCACATCCAGGACCTCCTGACCAGACAAGAGCTGGTGGGATCAGAGTCAATGGCAAGGAAAAAAGCCTCCCTTGTCCTAGGCAGGATCAGTAACTCCTGTCCCTATCTGCAGGGAAATTTTAGTCTAACAAAGTAATTGGGGTGCACATTAATGAAGTAATATCAGTGGGCTCACAGAATGTCCCAAGATACTCATAGCACCTATGGAGACCAGTCAGTGCGGCCAGTCATTGCTGTAGGGACTGGAGTTGTCACTTCACTTCAAATTGTCCTCCGTCTTGAGGAATGAGGTGGATTGGGATTGGCAGAGCAGGTTGAAGTGTTCCGCGAAAGACAAGCATAGAAGCGAGACAATGAAGACTTGCTTACTAGAGAGATTTTTACTTCTCCCCAGGCCTGGCCCCCTGCGGGGACCTGTCCATCTTCAGAGCCAGAGCCTGGGAGACCCAGCAGGAGCCTCCCAGTGCCCTCCCTGCCACTGAGGCACAATCCTCTGCAGGTAAGCACACCCCCGAAGGTCTCTGCCCTCGCCCTGTCCTCTCTCATCTTAGGAGAGCGGGCTGTGCATGGCAATCATGCAACATGGTTTTCCTGGGATTCTCCTAGTTTTGGCACAGAAAACCTGGGAAATTTCCTGAGAAATTCCTTAGTCTCCCACAGACTAGGGCAGTTGGTCACCCAAGTTGTGGTACTTTATACAAGGTCCTCCTGCTTCAAACTGTTCCTAATCTTTAAAGGAATTGATTTCTTCTTCGCTTCTCTGATTCTTTTGACATTCATCTCCCATCACTGAAGAGCCCTAGTGCCTAGTGATAAGTAGCTGAGCTGCCAGCTTGAAGTCATGTGGGTCAAATCTAACATCTGCTTATTGGAAAAAAGATGAGCAATCTCCTCCTGTATGATTTACAGCCTCTGAAAACCTGCTGGAGGGTCAGCTGAGGCTCAGTTCTGAGTCGACTGGACATACTAGTAACAGTGGCATAGTCTCTAGGGATATGACACTAACCCAAAGGTGGGACCTCCCTGGCCATTCAAATCCCTCAGCTGCTCCAGCAAAGAGGGACAGCTTCCTTCTGTGCTAATTTACAGCCTCTGAAACCATCTGGATGCTCAGCTATGAGGCAGTCCTGTCTTGATGGCAATGTGTTTGAATTTGGTGGATGTTTTGTGTGAATGGGTGTAAGCAGAGGTTGAGAAAGAAGCTAGTTTTCCCTAAAAGGGCTCTCAGGTAGAGGTAAGGGTGGAGGGTCAGGGCGGTGGCAGGGTGAGAGACACAGAGTCTTAGCAGTCCTCCCCTGTGACATTTGGAGAAGCAGCAGCTGGTGAGGGCAAGTCACCCTGTTCCACACTGTCTCGTCACAGGATGAGGAGGCGCCAGCTCTGCCCCCCAGGACCCCGGAAGGCCTCCAAGTGGAGGAAGAGCCAGTCTATGAGGCAGAGCCTGTGCCTGAGCCCAAGCTTGAACCAGAGCCCGAATCTGAGAATGAATATGAGGATGTTGCAGACATGGCTGGTCAGGACGACGATGCAATCGGGGACTACGAGGATGTGGACAACATAAACGAGCAGGATGATGGGCAGGGGGATTATGAAGATGTGCTTGAGCCTGAGAATCCCCCTTTTCCTTCTGGCCCTGCTGGTGAGCAGAGCATAAAGGAGGCGGGGGTGGGGGGAGAGTTTTCCTATTGCCCAGCAGGGTCTGTCTTTGTTTGCCTTCTTCATTTTGGTGAGACCGTGTTTCAATTTCTCATTCTGCAGGACTATCAGGCCACCTGGCTGGGGCGAAGGGGATCTCAGCTGTCGCCCTGTATGATTACCGAGGAGGTAGGTTGGGAATTGCTTGAAGGGCCTGGTGCCTGAAGGCCCCTGATTTAAGAGAATGAGGGTATTAATCCTGGGAGTCAAGGACTTGACATCAAGAAGGCTGCCAGGCCCTATGCCTTTCTCTGAGGTTTAGAGTGGATGAGGGGAACAGAGGGATGCTTGTGCGACGCCCCTAATATGCCCTCAACTTCCTCCGCAGAGGGAAGTGATGAGATTTCCTTTGATCCAGACGACATCATCAGTGATATTGAGATGGTGGATGAGGGCTGGTGGCGAGGAAGTTGCCACGGCCAGTTTGGACTCTTCCCTGCAAATTACGTCAAGCTCCTCGAGTGATGCACCAATTCTTACAACACGACTCTCTGTCTAAAATGACTTTGCCTCTCCCTTCCCCCCATTCCTGCTCCATGACATCAACAGGATGGCTTGAGTTGCCTGAGGTTCTCCACAGACTTCCTTCTCTAATCCCATTAAAGGCTTGGGGCAGAGTCAGTGTAATGGCAGGCATCTTCTTCCCCTCAGTGTCCTTGCTACCAGGAATAAGGTCCACTCAAGTCAGAGAGTGGACCAACCAGGCTTTGCCGTGCTCCCTCTAGCACCCCAAGCTCTGCTCTCCATTGTGGTATGCCTGGACCGGAACAGCCTAGTTTGCCAGGGTATAGGTACTGTTTGCTTTCCTCTGAATCTTCTCTTTGTTCAACCCTAAAGGGGGAAATAAAGTGAGACCATGGTTCACACCTAAACTAAGATGCACAGTATTTTTTATGCAGTCCTCAGTCACCCTGGTCTCCTATGGGTTTAAATTCTTTTCCCTCCAGAAGACTCTACCATGTTCCATCTGCCTCCACACTGAATGCCAGAGTCTGGTTGGTCCTTTCTCTTAGAGGATACTTTAAACCCAGACCAAAGCAGATCAGACTGGAGAAAAGAGCAAGGTGAGGTAATAGGACCCAGGCTGTATCCACATTAAAGCAGCTCAGTCTCTACTGCCGTTCACAGTTGGAGGACAGCACCCTCTGCCCAGCAGGAATGACAACAGTGTTTTAGGGTCTGGTGATTCTGGAATAAATATGACTTAGGGCATGGGAAGTAGGAAACAGGAGGATTGAGAACAGAAAAGAGTAAAACTAAAGGAATATAGGCTGTGGTGAGGTGTTAGGAAGTTTTAGAGTGAGAGACATTGGTGAGGATGTTTAGACTGGCTTGCGGTCAGCTGTGTAACTCAAGTCAATGTCCAGGAAAGTGGGAGAATGGAGGAAGTATGTGGAACTCTGCCTGATCTAGCGTAAATCAGAGAGGAACACAGAATAGGGCATGAGCCTTTGGTGGGCAGTATGCTAACCACCAAATAAAGTGAAGGTGAAAAGTGGAGGCCAGAGCAAGGTGTGCTGAGCCTCACTCAGCAACATCAGGCAGAGGTGATCCTGGGACTTAACTAAAATACAAGTGAGGAAATTCGTGTTGGAGAGCTCTGGTTTGCTGTTGTTTGTTGTGTATCATTGAGTCGTAAGAGACTCATAATCGCATGGGAGGAAATTGTCCATCTTTCTCCTGTGGAGCAGCTGGTGGGTTTGAACTGTGCCCCTTTGGGATTGCAATGCGGCTTCTTAGCACTAGGCCACCAGAGCTCCTTCTGTGATTGGCAGGACATAGACGTTTGTTTCCTAACTGGTATCTGAGGTTGGTTTCAGCTTTAGGATGGACAGTGGACTCAAGGAAGGATGAGAGTTGGTGACCGAGACCCAGAGTGGGCTCCAGAGCTGCCGCTGATGCCCATGTGCCCAGGGCATGGTGAGCCTCAGGCTCGCTCCTGGGCATTTCTTCTAGACCCTCTGCATTGGTTTCACTGATGACTTCTATGCCAGTGAATCCCAAATCTGTCCGTACTCACAAAATTCACCCCGTTAGCCTTTCAGAGTGAAAAGCAGCTTTTATTTCTGCTTGTAGAGACAGTGATTTCACAACACCATGGATACATTCACTGTTAACTTCTTCATCTCATTTTGATTTGATAGATCAGATCAAACTTACAGTGCCTTTCATGTTACAGTTTCAAATTCATCCTAGCAGTTTTCTCTTCCTTATACAGCAGTCTTTTTGGGCAGACCCCCAGCTGCTCTCCTGGGCCCTGTGCTGTCCCTACCATCCAGGCTGTGAAGGGGAGGCCCTCTGCCGTCTTCCTTTATGAAGCACCCCACCTCGAATCCTTCTAAGAGCAGCCCTGTTTTCCATCTCTGTTGGTTTGTAGCTCCCCTTTCTCTCTTTTTCCTAATAAAATAAGAAATTCAGAGTGGACTTTGACAGCTTTCTTCCCCTAGATAAGAAAGAATTATATTCCAAACACATGGGATAGATATCAAGCCAACCCTCTTCTTTTTCTCTTACTTCAGTGTTGTTTCCAATTACTCCTCTACACTGAATAAGCTATAATAAAACTTTAGACCACACATTTGTTATAGTATTAGAAAATGACATCTTATATACATATGAGAAATATAAACAACAAAAATGGGGGTTAGGGAAAATAGGGTTATGGTACCAAATAGTACCAAATGGGATGTTTAAATGAAACAGCGAACATATTTCTGCTCTAGGACTTTATCTAATGCCTTCTTGACCTCTCTTGGAAGTATCATCTACCTATTCCACAGCATTTTCACCTAAATGAACCAGATTCTTTCCTTTTTTGACTGGTTCTTTGTTCTCCACTTGCCCACTATGGCTATTCTCTTTACTCCCTAATTGTAATTTATTTGAGGGTTGTGAGGACTTCTGAGGGAATGCTGGTGGTCTAGTGAATAAGGAGCTAAACTGCCAACCCAAAAGCAGGCAGTTCAAATCACCAGCTATTCTTCAGGAGAGATGGCTGATCTCTTCCTAAGAAATTTATAGCCTCTGAAAAGAGGGTCAGCTATGAGTTGCTTCTGACTCAAAAGCAAGGAGAGTTTTTGCAGGACTGTTGGATAAGTAGCATTAATTAAAGAGAAATAGATAAAAACACAAGCCAACTCCACGATTCAACTGGAAAGAACTAGAAGTCACTGTTTGTTTACCAGACTCTAGGACATGAAGCCATACAAATCAACTAGCTCCATCTGGTTCCCAGTTTAAAAGTCACCATCACCACATGTATAAATTGGTTTATACACATAAGATCTTTTCATAACTGATAATGGCCTGCTTAAAATAAAAACCATTGTGGGCTACTATGCCAGGTAAGATTTTGCCCAAATCCTGCACAACATGCTCTGTGGCTTCACTTCTGTCTCTTGTTCTTTGACTTGTGATATCCTCAAAGGCCACAGTGCACAGCTCGGGGATTGTTCTTTGTTGGACTGCAAGTGGACTGACTGGTTTTAAAGGCAGTGAGATCAGCAAAAGCAGCCCTGGGCTCAACTAGTAGGCAGACCCACATGCAGCAACTTCAAACTGTGCCTTTCACCCTCAGTGTCCAGTGAGGTGACCCTCTGAGCCGCACACCTTATTCCTGCCCTGCCTGACCCATGACTTTGAAAGTGCTCTGCAAATAAAAAGGCCCTTTGTAGAAGCACAAGGCTGTGCAGGTGGAGGAATTTCATTGCTCTCTCATCTTTCAAGCGGCCTCAAAGTTACCCATTTACTCCCAAGATTGATTTAGTTTCTAAAACAAAAGCAAAGGAGGTAAGTGATGAACTGGGGCTGAAGCAGTTCTACCAGCCATGGCTATCTGAAATTCTTAGACTCTGTGCAAACACTCAGGTTTTAGAGAACACTGCAAATTCCATTGCACCCAGAGACACACACAAGCAGTTTACAAAGGGGAGTCCTCAATGCCACACTCTTCCCTACTTCAGGAACTCTGAGGGGAATCCCAGAACGGCATGTTTGAATATTTAGAAGGTGTTTCTTCCTCACGGCCTAGGTCTAAAAGTGGAGACCAGGCTCTCTCGAGGCTGCTCCTGAGGCTCGCACATGCTGGTCAAAAGAATGGGGTCAGTTTTGTGCTCTACAACGTTGAAAGGGCAGGTCTTCAGGTGCTCAGACATGGAGGAGACTTCATTAAACTCCCAGCTTTTGATCTTGGAGAAGAGGCTGCTGAACTGCCAGATCTGTTAGGAAAGAAGGAAGCTCAGAAGTGAACATTGGGATAATACCTCCAGGCTGAATTTATTTGAATAGTGTGAGAAATCCTTTTCTGGTTTTCTTCCTATTCTTAGCTTCTAGAGGTTTAGTTGACTGCCTCAGATTCGGTTAGCTTCTGCCCTACCATAGCATAGCATAGCATAGCATAGCATAGCATAGCATAGCATAGCATAGCATAGCATAGCATAGCATACCATACCATACCATACCATACCATACCATACCATACCATACCCAGTTTCCCACCAGCCATATGGTTTGTGTATGAAGGCCCAACTTCAGTTCTAGTGATGAACTGTTGTTGTTGTTAGGTGCTGTCAAGTTGAGTATGACTCATAATGATGCTACGGACAGACATCCAGAAACCTGCCCTATCCTGTGCCATCCTCACCATCTCCAAGACACTAAAGCCCGTTGTTGAAGATACAGTCTCAGTCCCTCTTGTTGGGGTGGATGAGGTTGACTTAATCCAATCAGCATCATCTCAAGTGATTGGGTCCAGTTTAGACACTTAACTCAGGTCGGGACAATCAATGCCAATGAAACTTTGCCCTGAAACTTTTGCTTGAGATAATTAGAAATAGATTCTTTTTCCCTCTGAACTTAACCTGGGAAGCTATAGTTTTAGGAGTTGCTGGCAGCCACAAAGAGAAAAGAGAATGGAGCCACTATTGAGGAGGTAGGGTTGAGAAATGCAGAGAAATCAAGTCCTTGGAGGACATTTTGGAACTATGGACAAATCCTTATCTAAAACTATTATTTATTTATTGCACAGTAAGAGGGAACTGTATTGACAACCTAAAAATGACACATCTCTGCTGCTTCGAAACCACTAGCTGTGGAAGAAAGATGAGCAATCTCCTTCTGTGCAATTTACAGCCTCTGAAAACCTACGGGAGGGTCAGCTAGGAGTTAGTTGTTTGTGACTCACAGCAATGAGATTATTTTTTTGTGTGTGGTTTTCTTTAAAGTTTAGGCCAATTAATTCCTTTACTGCTTATTATAGCTATTTTTAACATATTGCTCGCAATGGAAAGTATACTTACTACTAACAGTCTTAGTAGAACAGGAAGCCCATACGAAAATTCTAGGAGTTGATACTCCATTGGATTTCCTCTCGCCCTTCTATCTGGGCTGCAGTGGTGACAAGTCATTGGTTTTAAAAGCTACCCATGATGTTAGCCATAACACGATACCCTTTCATTTTAACAACTTCACCCTCAGTTTCTTGTCCCTGCTCCTGTATAGGATATCTATCTATCTATCTATCTATCTATCTATCTATCTATCTATCTATCTATCTATCTATCTATCATCTATC